ACTCCTGCTTTATTTTTTAGTTCATAACCTTTAGTTTTGTCTCATATAACTGGGAAGATGTAAGAATGGGAAAGATTAGTAGAAGGGGTTGTATTTATAATAAGAGATGTGAAAATTCAATTTTCAAATCAAACTGATATCAATAAAAACACTTTAGTTTTTAAAATAATATTTTTTCTGGGATAAGTACTACTCAGAAAATCCTATATGTGAATATGATCCTGATAACAGATATTGTTCACTGGCACCAAATTTTCTCTGCCAAGACAAAATGCAAGTATCAGTGTGATTATCTGAGGAGTTATATGTGAAAATTTTAAATCTGTGCACAACTCAAAGTAAGCACATAGAAATTAAGTTTTTGTTGTTCCAAATTATTAGTTTTTCTAGGCAACTAAGAGTAGATTTTATGTGTCATAGTAGTAACACATTAAAACCTTTTTCTCACCTTTACTCAATCACTCAACAATTCTTTATTAAAGATACACAATTTGCCGGACACTACACTAGCTGTAAAAATTACTTATAATCAAGTGGGAATAATTTCTGAGTGTGAACATACTGTGATTTAATAGGAGACTTAAGAGATATTAAATTCTAGTATGGATTGGGTTTCAATCTACATAAAAGAAAGTCACTGGGCATCAAGAGAATAACTTGATTCTTGAGTATTCCAACTAAACACCATCTCTTTAATGACTAATTTGATTTCCTAAGACATTGAAAGTCTTTTCAAAATCAAAATATAGACTAGAATTTTAAATGGCTCTTTTTAAAATTTATCTTGGCAAAATGTAAAGTTTTGTTTTAAAAATTAAAATTGCGATTAATATACAATAAACTGCACCTATTTAAAAGTTATAATACGTTTTGGCATATGTATCTTTGAAACCATCACAATAAAGAGAATGAATCTATCTATTTCTCTAAAAGTTAACGAGCACCCCTTCTAATCCTTTCTATTCTCAGCTCTTTTCCCTAGCCAACCACTGATCTGCTGTCACTGTAGATTATTTAGCATTTTCTAAAATTGTATATAAATGGGACTATATTTTATGTATTCATCTTCATTTGGCTTCCTTTACTCATAATAATTAAGATTTACCTATATTGTTCCATTTAGCCCTTTTTTTGCAGAGTATTATTTGTGGTGTAGATATACCACAATTTGTTTATCTATTTGCCTATCAATGACAGACTTCCAGGTTGTTTCAAATTTTTGGCCATTTAAAATGAGGCTGCCATGCATATTTACAAACAAGTTTTGAATAGATATAAGCTCTCCTTTCTAGGAAAGTACCTAGGAATAGAAAACATGGGTCATGTGGTAGGTATATGTTTAACAATTTACGAAACAGTCAAACTGTTAGGTACATAGCTAGGATCTCTGGCTCTTCTAGAAACAAGGGTGCCCTGTTTTGGTGTTGCCTCCAGCAATTGGCCCACCTAGGAAAAAGGGTAAGGGTGGGCACTTCATTTTGGTGTTGCCCTATCCTTAATCATATCTTGAGTAACTGCAACACTTGAGGAAAGAGGGACTGCTTTACCAATCTGGGAATTCCCTAGCCTAGGCATAACAGGATTGAAAAGTGACTGAGAGGTATTTGTATTTTTAGCTCTTTGAGATATCTCCAAATTCTTTTCCACAAAGGTTGCACTAATTTGCAGTCCCACCAGCAGTGTAAGAATGTTCCTGTCTCTCCACATCCTCGCCAGCATTTGTTGTTTGGGGATTTCTTGATATGGGCCATTCTCACTAGGGTTAGATGCTATCTCATTGTGGTTTTGATTTGCATTTCTCTAATAATTAGCAATATTGAGCATTTTTTAATATGTTTTCTGGCAATTATTCTGTCGTCTTTAGAAAAGTTTCTGTTCATTTCCGTTGCCATTTCTTGATGGGGTTGTTTGATTTTTTTCTTGTTAATTATTTTGAGTTCTAGATAGATTCTTGTTATCAGACCTTTATCGGAAGTGTAGAGAGCAAATATTATACCATTCGACCCAGCAATAGCATTATTAGCCATCTACCCAAAAGAGCATAAGACATTCTATTATAAAGACATCTGCACCCAAATGTTTATGGCAGCACAATTCACTATAGCAAGGACATGGAAACAACCCAAGTGTCCGTCAATTCATGAATGGATTATTAAAATTTGGTATATGTTTACAATGGACTATTACTCAATTCTAAGAAACAACAGCAAGCTAGCACTGCTTATATTATCCTGGATTGAGCTTAAGTCCATTATCCAAAGTGAGGTGACACAAGATCAGAATAATGGGCTCCATATATACTCGCCATCAAATTGGTACTGACTGATTAACACTATGGTGCTCAAAGGGTGGTGGTGTTCACCAAGGATTCCGGGGTTGGAAGGGTAGTCCCACATCTAAGGGATGTGGTGAACATTGTGGGAGGGAAGGGCATACCTCTAACCCTTGCTAGGGAGAGGCAAAGATATAAAAGGTAACCAAAATGTTAAGAAAAAAAGAAAAACAAACATTTGTCGGGTGTGGGGCAGGTGGGAGGGGGAGGAGGGGATGGGTGTATACATACATAGTGTGATGCACACCATCTGAGGATGGCCACAAGGGAGGAGGGGAGACAAGGGCAATGTATGTAACCTTAATGATTGTACCCCCATAATATTCTAAAATAAAAAGTGACCGAGAGTAACCTAAGGCTAATTATTATGTCATTAGCTTAAATCTACATTGTGGTTTATCTCCTCCCCATCCCCCTACCCCCGCTAGGTAGGGCTTTCAGAGCAGGAGCTTGAATAGGCAGAGACAACCTTGAGAACACCTGCTAATTATTTGGTAACCTCCCACACCTCCTGAAAGCCCTTACCCAGAATAGGCCAATAAAGGAAAAGAACTCAAGAACTCCCAGAAGAAGAGTCAGTCAGTCTCTCTCCACTCACAGAGACAGACTTGTTTTATTTTATAATAAAAAGCTACGCATGTGAAACTGCTTCCTGCTTGTGGTCACTCTATCACACAGGCCCTGCTTGTGATTTTTTTTTTCTAGGCGAGGAGACAAAGAACTAGGATAATAGTCTGCCAAGAGGCTGGACCTGACACTTTAGCGTGTATGGTCATTCTTCAGCCAAGAACACACCAAGAATCAAGAGCAGACTTTCACCTCGACAAAACTGCTTTCCAAAGTATTAATATCATTTTAAATTTCCACCAGCAGTGTATAAGAGTTCCATTTGTTCCACATATGTGCCAACACCTTTTATGGCTAAACTTTTTAATTGTATCCATTCTAATAGATGTGTAATAACTCATCATCATATTGATTTGCATTTCTCTAATGAATAATGATGCCAAGCATGTTTTCTTGTGTATATTTTCCATCTATATGTAATTTTACTTTTATTAAAATATTTTTCCCATTTAAAAAAATTGGCATGTTTGTTTTTAGTTCAGTTCTGAGAATTCTTTCTATACTGTGAAGTTCTCTATCAAACAAGAAATTTGGAAATATGTTCATATTTTCTCCTGTTCTTTGTTTTGTCTTTTCATTCTCTAAACAATGTCTCTAGAAGAGCCAGAGGTCTTGATTTTAATTTTGTTAAATTTTCTTTTTTTACTCTTATGGGATTATTCCTTTGGTACCATACATAAGAAATCATGACCCCAAGATTATGAAAATTTTCTTCTAGAAGTTTTACAGTTTAGATTTTAAGTTTATATTTAAAATCAATTATAGTATTTATATATGGTATGAAATATTGAGGTCCATTTTTTTGCATGACTATCTACATATTCTATCACTGTTTACTGAAAATACCTGTTATCCACCAAATTGCCCTGTCATCTTTTCCAAAATTAATTGTCCATGTATGTATGAATCTTTTCCAGACTTTTTATTCTGCTCGTTTATCTCTATACCAATTCTACATAATCTTATTATAGATTTATAATAAATCTTAGGTAAATAAATCCTCTACCTTTTCTATGTCAAGTTGTGTTTGCTATTCTAGATTCATTGCATTTCTATTTAAATTTATAATCACCTTATCAATTTCTACATAAAATCTCTTGGGACTTTGGTATTTGGTAGAATCAATTGTCAAGTTATGGAGAATTGACATGTTAATAAATAGTAAATCTTCTAATCCATGAATATTATATATATTTCTAATTATATCTTCTTTGATTTTATTTATGTAATATTATAGTTTTCAATATATGACTTTTGTGCATATTTTGCCAGATTTATCTCTAAGTACTATATATTTATGATACTGTTTCAAATGATATTTTAAAATTTTAATTTCTGATTTCTCACTGTTAGTATATAGAAATATAGTTGATTTTGTGTATCGATCTTGTATCTGCAACATTGGTAAACTTATTGGTTCTAATAGCTTTTTTGTAGATTCTATCAGATTTTCTAGGTAGATAATTATGACATCTTTAAATAAACACAATTTTACTTCTTTCTTTACAATCTGGATAACTTTTGTTTTCTTGCCTTGCTGTTCTGGCTAGTACTTCCTGTACAATGTTAAGTAGAAGCGAATGCGTGAGAATGGATATCGTTGCCTTATTCCTTTTTTCTTTTTTGAGATTAAGCACTTAGTCTTTCATTATTAAATATGTTAGCTGCAGCTGTTCTTGTAGCTGCAATTTATCAGGTTGAGGAAGAACCATTTTATTTTAACTTGCTGAAACATTTATCTATGTATGTTTGTACATATGTATATTATGTATGTTAATATGTATTGCTGAAAATTCTATTAAACTTTGTTCTGGGTATGATTAAGTTACACAGCAATAGTTGTATTCTTACTTTTTCAAGCTTGGGTAGACAATTCCAGAACAGAATTAGTTTACGGTTAAAATCACTCAACTTCTGAGGGAAGTTTTTCTTCAATACTCTACCCAAGGTCCTGTGAATTGTGTGGTTTTCTGTTCTGTATGGTGAAAACAGCACCTGTTCTCAAATTTGTGAGAGTTTCAGGGACTGTGCCTTATAATATGTTTATTTTCTGGAGGGCAGATAGTTTCCTCACATGCCTGTACTCATTAGTACTTGGCTGAAAACTTGATGCTGACCCTCTGCAGATCGTTTGAGTTCCCTCTCTATGCCACTCTCTTCCGTTCTGCAAACTCGAGCCTCCTCTGCCTCCCATGTGCCTAGCTCAGTCTCTTCAAGAAGAGGATGTCAATCTCTACTTCGGTTCTTACACCCTGTGCCACAGCCTGGAAACCATCTGTATGCAGGAAGACAGAGCAGTTGTAGAGCTTACCTTCTTTGTTTGCCATTTCTCAAAGATGCCTCATCTCTAAAGTCTTGAAAGCTGTTATTAAATGTTTTATATTTTTTTGTCCAGTTTTTAACAATGTTTCAGGGAAGAAGTTACATCTGGTCTCTTTTTTCACCTTGGCTGAACAAATGTAGAACAAAAGTAGAACAAAATGTGATGTTTTATATCACAATCTTTTTGAGTACATGATAGATTAAACATATCAATTGAAAATATTTTAGAATGATAGGTTTAAAAGGGGTGTCTATATGTTTGCTTCGATTTTTTTTTTTGCTTTAAATTCCTGTTTCTTTCTTTCAGTACACGGGAAACAGGTAGAAGAAAGTTGCATGTGTAATAAAGAAATAGAGACTCCTTTAATAAGTAAAGCAGCATGCCATGAAGCAAAACTTATTAGAAAAGATTAGATTTGTTTCGTCATTGATTTTATCTAATTCTTCTCTTCCAACTATATTTCTCAGAAAACTCTTGATGAACAAATTACAGTAGTGTCAAACCTTGAAACCCTGGTAAACTTGTCCATTTTTGATTAATGGCTCCATCATCTACTGCCAGCCAGGATTCTACAGACATTAATTTTATCAGGAACAGCTGGTTCTGGAATACAGGTGCAGACTGTTCCTGCCACATGATCTATCTATGATGTATTAATAAAAGAATGATGGCTTAACTCTTTAAGATGCTATCAAAGGTCAATTTAATACTTTCTTCAAAGAGAAAAGATAAATGAATCATAATGTTCCAATTCTTGTTCAATATCTTGTTTTATCTTAGAATCCTCATACTTTCAAGCACACCATTATTTAGTTTGCTGGGGGGGAAAAAAGAGACAGTTAACCTAACTTTAACAATTGCTATATAAAATTTTTGAAAAAGGTGACTTTAGTAGAGAATGGACAAAGTTTTCAAATAGAGGATTCTCAAATTAGTGATCATTGTTAATTAAATTGATCTAGAACTAAAAACATTTGTGTGACGTTCAAATAACTTTAACTGATTTTTAATAGTATAGAGGAAAGCACAAATTCAATAGAGCTTGTACACTCAGGTTCAATTCTAGGCTCTACTATTTACCACATAATGCTTAAATAATTAACTCTTAAAATCCCTATAATTATTATCTTAAATCAGAGTTGATATTTTCTAACCCCAGAGTCGTTCTGAGTAACAATGGTAAAATATGTATGCAGTAGTTGTATTCATCTATCAAATATTAGTTTTTCTTTACAAAGTCAAAGTGGTATAATTAAACATGTCATACTTTCCATTAACATCAGGGCATATGTTATTACAATGGATATTTTCTGATGATTTATTTTCCATGATATTTTCCAGTGTCATAATAATTAAAACATTTCTGTCTGCATTTAATAAAGTATCATTATTGAAGTAATAAAGTTACCTGAAAACAGACTGTTCCAGAAATCTAAGGTGGGTGATGAGCAGAAGTGAATCTTTATTATCAGAAGAGTGTATTCAATTTTTAGTCCAACATTTCCCAGCTGAGCAGGACTTTATCCAAATAGTATATCTATAAATGTAAAGTAACTACTCTAAGTTTTATATTATGGAAAATTAAGTAATATGTGTTTTAGCAATACCTCATCCACAGTGAATTGCTTTATAAAGTTTACTTATTATTCAATTATTGGATGAAGAAGTTATTTATGTAACTCCGAGCTTGAAGATTCAATTCATAAACATTTTGTCTGAGCATGAAAATTTATTGCTTCCTTAAAATATTTTATAGTTTTTGTTAGTAGGGAAGTAGGATGACACTGGAAACATTCGACGCTGAAACAGCAAAAGGGATTAAAACAGGTAGAACTCTTCAGAGGTTTACTTTTCCTCTCCTTACTTGCAAATAGGGTTTTGCTGTTACTATGAAAAACCTTTTTCTTTATGGAAGAGCTAAACTTAATTGGCACATCAGATCCAGAATGAGAGGAAGAATGCTTTCCAACAGACCTCTACTGGCAAGCAGCACTTAGACTAATTTATCCTTCCATGGCAATTACTGTGGTATCACTGACTCTTGGATTGCCAACTGATGATACCTGCCGGCCTACACCTGGAGACACCTGCTAACTGAAACAGAACACTTTGAAAAGTCAGCCTGTGGAGAAGAGCATATCAATTCTGTCTACTACGAGTCTAACTTTTTATTTCATTCCAGTTTCTACATCCTTGACCTATTTCTTATGTTACATTTTCTGTGCACTAAGAAAATATAAATAAGAAAAAAACATTAAGGGATCACTGAGAAACAGCCTGTGCATCTCATTCCCAGTTTAAGGAATTTTCAAGTGGTGCTGGAAATTGAAAATATGAATGGGATGACTTTCATCTCAGAAGATGTGTAGCTAAGCACAAAATGAAGGTCTTTTTCTAGGTTAGGTGGTTGGGTAGAAATGGTAAATGTGTTGATGAGACAGTCTAGATAATGGCTATTTGCTAGGGTTTTTAATGAAAATAATTGCTACTATTTTTAAAGCAAAGTGGTTCATATTAAGGTTTCTTAAGTACAATTGTTAAATGTAACTTGAGCTCAGTAAATTATTTGATAAACTTTACTTGAAATTTACTATTTCCTATATTTAATAGATGTAAGAGAGAGAACAATTAGAATTTAAGGTCTTCTAAATGAAACAGTAGTATAATTTAACTTCATGGGAACCTGAATACTGTTCTAAAGATAAGGGGATTTGGGTTTAGTATGACAATCAATAAGAGAAAATAATGAAATAACACTTGCTTACATTCAAAATCTCTTTCTGTGCCTTGACTTTCATCATTTGCTTAACCAGAGAATTAGTGTATTACATTAACAAGAGGAAAATAACAATGGAAAATTTTCTACCTGCAAAAACAATTTGCAATGCATGTAGTCCCTCCCCAAAATGGCTGCAAAACTGTAATTGTCATGTTTTAAGCCATATTGTAAAATCAAAGATAAAAGCAAAATAAATTCCATTTTATCTGTCACTAAAACAAGTCCCCATGAATCAAATCTTACTTTCTGAGGGGTTAATATTTCTGATGACTTCAAAACAGGAATATGGTGCATGAAGTGTAATGCAACAGAACTGACAAGAACTAGCCAAGTTTAAAGTCCAGGACATAAAACCTGACTATAGTATGAAACACTGTGAAGTAAACTGCTTTCTTTTCTACTTTCTTGCTCAAATAGTGTACGGTAAAATCCAAGGCCTGGAGTTAGACTGTTTGAATTGAAATTCCAGCTCTGACACTTACTAGTACTGTTATCTTGACAAGTTACTTAAACTCTTTTGTGCCTCAATTTTTTGTCCAAAAATAAACATGTTGAAAGAATTAGTTAATAAGTGAAAAGGATTTAGAATATTTAGTCACATACTTAGCTCTCCATTAGTATAGCTACTACCACAATCACTTCCGTGAAGAAACTAATTTGAAGATACAGTGAGAGACCAATGAGCATGGCAACTCTTGGGACTGTTTCTCTGAAACAGTCTAGGTACTCCAAATCAAAGATGATGAAAAGATTTTTGTCCCTTGAAAAATTAAGGCATGTAAGAGAAAAGACAGGAAGAATAAGGTTGAATCTGTAAAAAATTATTTGCTTGAATTTACAAAGGCAGTAGGGAGGGGATGAGGTTGGCATGTGAATTCAAAGTTTAACATGTTAACTGCCATCTTAGTTTTATTTAACTCACACTAGTTTTGCACTCAGGGCCTCAAGAAGCATATGTAATTCATGTCTTTTTACCTTGGAAGCTGTGAGAATTATTTTTCAAGTTGCATGTAACTCACATAGAAAACAATAAAAAATAACAAATTTTTCATTAAATTAGAAAGGTTTTTTTTTCTGAAGTTTTTATTCTATTTTTGTAATATCATGGCCCCAAGGAAAAAAAATTTTTTTCTAATGTGGCAGTCAATGTGTTAAAAACTAATCCATGCATTACAGGTCTTATTCTACAACAATTTCGACAAAACACCAAAGCTAAAGCAAAACTGGTAATGTTCCTAGGGTGAAAATGGCTTTCTTTGTAATAGCGTTGCAGCATTTAGCTGGAAGCATGATGGATATGGCAGCCAAGGGCTAGTCTATAGAATTGTTATCTGTTTTTATATCCCATGCTACCTTTCCACAACCCATCATCCTTCTTATTACCAGGGCATTGCTACAAATTGCTGTCAATCAATTTCTGAAATATATTTCTATTTATTCCTGAGAGCAAAGATGGTACCTTTATAACCTTTCTCCCTTTAGAGAAGGGAGAAATTCTTAGTCATTACTGGAATACACTGAGTTCAACACAGTGTGGTTAGGGAGCTATCAAGATCTTGAACTTCCAGTTTGCTTGCTAGATTAGCAGATTGTTTAGGTGAAATGTTGGCTTTTAAACCTCTTTTTCAATGTTGAATAAATCTAATCTTTTGAAATAAATACACAGTAGACAATGAATGATACTGATAGCAGGTGGGTCAGGGATGGTATTTCTTTGACAAGATGATAAAAGCTTTCTCCAACTCAAAACATTGGGTTCTTTAAAAAATTTTACTTATTGTGAACTTGATATTCTATTAAAATCAAAACACCCAATGCACATGCAAATTTCAATGAGGAACAGAATTATTTAATTGTATCTGCTGTCATAATCTGTTATTCAAATTATTTAAATATTCATATTTTATATAAATGTATATAGCACTTACAAGCAAGAAGTCAAAACTTTCCACATTTTTTAGGTTTGTATGGCAAGAAACAACTAATTCAAAGAGGAATAACAGGTAAATAGTTACCATTAACATACAAAAAATGACCCATTTTTACCTTATAATGTCTCTTTGATTCGAAGAGAGTATAGTGATAAAAATGTTAAATGTGGCATTGTTTAAAAACATTAATCATATATACTGCAAAAAGATGGTACCCATGTATTATGTTAAACTTAGAATTATTTAGATTATGTAAAGAGGCATGAAGGAACTTAAAGTAAAATGATACACCCTTAGTCTCTACCTGTAATTGGTTAGAACATCACAGGAGAAAATAGTTCATGGAAACAAAAGAGATGCTTAGGATTTTGTCTCAGATGAATGTGGTAGATTGCAATCCAGTTCCATTTTACCACTGGACCAGTCTATTGTGCAGAGACTGGAAAGCTGATTGTGGCATTTCCTGGGCTATTTGCCTGCTGGGGTTCTCAGTGTAACTAAGGGTTGACCAATTAGATGTACTTACATGTGATTTAGAACACAGAAGTGAGGTTGGGATGGTAAGAAACAGAGCACTGAGCATTCATCCAGTTGTTATAGATCATAGCTGGTTAAGAAAGTCATTTCCTAATGTTGGTAGATTTATGGTTGGTCTTTGGACCCTGTAGCTTCCTGAGGACTATTGCATAATTCTGGAAGAACTTCCTAAAATCTCATTATAATATATATTTTTGGCTCTGTCCAGATTTTTATGCATTTAGGAATACAATGCATTTGTAGGTAGATAGAGTTTTATGATTATTATTTTTAGAGGTTTTCAAGTGGACACTGAATGATCACTAGCATAGATATCATAGAGGGAATCAAAATGGGGGGTGAGATGGGAAAAATTGAATTAGTTGGTTTTCTGAGGTCCTTTCCAATTCTGCAATTCTGACTAAATGAGCTTCTTTTGCTATGTCTCACAGTAAGTCAATACTGCTTTGCTGAAAAGTCATCTTCTGTGAAATGATTTGTGGATTTGGTTTCACCCTAAGAGTACTAATGAAAGCAAAAGCTTTAACTAAGAGACCAACAGTCTCCAGAGCAAACAAATTTGGAAAATTCCATATTTGATTTAACTTTTCTTCTCTATCCTTTTATTATTTTTCTGAAGCTTAAAATTTTATTCTGATGGGTTAAAAAGAAATGCAGAAATCTTAAATTATATGCTTTATATATAGGTCTAAGAAAAATAGATTGGATTTAGCTCTCCACACCATCAGGCTTAGACTATGTGAATATTTTTATTAAAAAATGGCTAATAAGCTAATGTATTGCCCTGAAGGCATGAAATCGTGTGGTAAGATGGTATTTAAATGTGTATTTATATTCATACATATTGCCCAATTTTTACATGTGTTTCGCTGATTTCAACTAAGTTACCAGGCCCATTTTTATTAAGGTGTATACGCTTACATCCTTTGTTACATTAAAAATCCACAATTCTCCTAAATGAATTTTCATCTTTTTTTTCACTCAGATGTTTAGTCATTTTTTTGAATTGTTACCTTGAACAGAATAAGTTTCTTTCCAAAACACTTTTTTATGGGAGTAAACTTTTTTGAAAAAAACCTTCAAATTCTGTCCAAATATAAATGTTTATTTTGTGAAAATCAACATACTGAAAGTTGAATTTTTTTTTCCTAGTTGAATGAGTTTAGTGTTATCATAGGATAAGTTTGATATATGTAACTAATTTCCTTAATGAACCCTGCAAATAGTGGTAAGAAGATTTTGAAAGTATTGTGCAAAGAAACAATATAACCCCTTTAAAAATTATAATCTTATCAAAAAATAGAAATTGAAAAAATATTTAGAGGAACCAAGTTCTATATTCCTTTAAAGTCGAAACTCATATAGGCCCCGTTCCCTACTATAAACAATACTGTTCATCATTTATGAACTTAAAAGTAGGTTAAGCATTTGAAACATACAGGGAAAAAGAAGTTAAATGAGGGTGGTTTATATATTAATAATGGGGAGAAAGACCAATGTTTATAATCATTCTCTTGGGGGTAGAAGTGCCTTTTCTAAGAAAAGTCAAGAAAATAAAACTCTAAAACTATTAAAATATAATAATTTAAATATCATTATCAAGTTGCTTGGTATTGTTGAGTGACTTAGGTTTGGTTTTGAAGGTTGTCAATGAGGACAAAAATAAGCTTAAACTGGGAAGTGGGGAAAATCCTTTAACCCTTTTTCTTTTTTTGTATGTAACCACATACAAGCAAACGGCCAAAAGGAGTTGGCCCCTGGCCTCCGTGGCATTTCATTTCTTCCTCAAGAATGGCCCATGGACGAGGGTCAGGTTTTGAAAGATGATACAAGACAGGGGGAATGTGTCTTACTGTCAAGGAAAGCCCAAAACAAAAGGTCCTGCTTCCTTATCGGACTCCTTTAGAAGAAAAAGGGAGAAAAGAAAAGGGCCTTAAGGAAGTGAAAAGGAAACCTTTTAAGTCAAAGAGGAAAAGGAACAAAGTAACCTTTAGCTGAAGGGCTTGCCATAAGGAAGCTTTTTGGTGAGACACCTGGGAAGTGTTCCCAAGCCGAATCACAATAAGGAGCTTCCAAAGGGAAGTGCCTTGGGCCTTTAGACTTGTAAAGATATTTAAACTAGAAAAAATGGGAGGCTGAAGTTTTCTTTAACCTTGCAACTCCTCTTAGAGAAACTGTAATGCACTCGGGCCGCTGCCACACCGGTTTTGGTTTGGTGGTGAGGGATTTTCCCACTTTCCCCTTCTAAAAACCTTGTCAGTACACAAACCTTAAACAATTTCTATGGTCAAAGGCCCTGAAGATCAAAGAACATAGGATTTGCAAAACCAGGACTTTCTTCAGGGTACAAGTTAAACCATCTTATATTTTTTAAATAATTGGCGCAATAATAAGTTGCTAGAAACCAAAAAGTTTATTATGCTTGGGATATCTGAATTTGAATACTTGAAAATAAACTTAACCAGAATTATGCAAATATCCATACAAAGAAAACTGACAAGTTGTGTGAATGACGATAAATGGGCCTAAAATGATTTGGAAAAAAATTCATTTGATTCCCTGAGTGGAAAGACATTTAGCAATGTAATACTGTTAATTTCCCTAAACTTAATTTATAACATATAAATAATTCCAAGCCACGTCCCAATGGATGCTTTTGGAATGTAATTAATTAATTCAGAGCTCCTCTGGAGGAGTGCAATGCTTTAGGAAAGCCCCCAAATTGCTTCTTTTTTAAATTGTAAAAATATGTTTAGTACTTGCATATAGCTTTGATATTTTTGATATTTGGAATCTTGTTTTTTATGAAGAATTCATTGGGAAGAGTTCAAGAACCAAGCTTTCTTGAAAGTAAAATTAAAGGATATCATTATTATGACAAGGAGAAGAGAAAGAGATTAGGAATCAGCCCTAAAGAAATGTGTAGGAGAAGAATGTAACGTGATTTAACCATTGGAGGGCAATAATTTTTTATCAAACTTCATGTTTTTAGAAAAATTTATTTTTAGAGGAAAAAATTTTATTTGTGCTGTTTCACTCCCCATGTCAAACTACTGTGCAAATTGCAATGGAAAAGATGTATTATATTATTTTAGTATTTATTTTATATTTTCAATGTATTTAAAATACACTGAAAAGTAGGTGAAAAGTGAACACTCATGTACTTGACATTAAGACATCTTAATATGATTTCTTCATTTCTTGATTCACATTTTAAACTAATCTTTTATTATTACATAATAAAAACATACTTATTACATAAGTATGTATATACGTGTAGTAGAGAATAGAATAAAATACATATGCATGAAAAGAACATTAGAAAGTTATGATTATATTACCCAAAGATAATTACTCTGAATACCTTATTGTAGATATTTCCTTCTGTTTTTGTGTGTGTGTATATATAGAACTTTTTTACCAAATAAGATCTTTATAGCACTTGTTCTTTTGTAACCTGCATTTTTATCCACTAATCATTTCCATCTATCCTTGAAAATAGATTTTTATCTTAATATTTTAATAGATGATTTGTCTAAACCAATATCTAATTACCAATCACATCATGCACCTTATCATCATGCCACTCAGGTCTCTTCTAATGTAGCATTGTCTCCTTTTCATTGAAAAAAATTATATATATATGTGTATATATACACACACACAGTTAATGTACTAATAGGAAGAAATAAACACAGTGAAGAGAAACAACATAGAAAAAGGGGAGAATGATTAGTGAACTGCTAGTTTAGATAGGGTGATCGTGAGACTCCTCTAAGGGGATAACACTTGAACAGATACCTTAGTTATATTAATGTCATATATTTTTAACTTAAATGTTTTATAGTTATTAAGTACTCATATTTTGATTTTTTTCCAACCCAGGATATTTAACTTGGTCTCTTAATAGCCATAACTAATGCCACAAGACACTATTTTTAAAAACATGTGTTAACACATAAGAGAAGGGATAGATATTACCCTCCTAGGACTAATGTATAGGAACGATGATTACATTATCCCTGATATACTCCATCAGGCCACATTTCATTACTTTAACCAGGCTATTTGTATAATTTTGTGATTACATTAAAAATTAACATGTAAGCCTCTTTCTGTTGTAAATATCTAGTAACACAGCTGTAAAAGAAAATTAAAAATAATATAAAAAATAATGTTTTAAATAATTGCTTTTTCTATGTATAATGCTTTAATATTTCAAGGAACCAAAAACTAAATGCTCTTTTGCTTTATATAACAGCTTATTCATAGACTTGCCTGACACCTTGGAGTTAAAATGAGCTGGTAGTTTCATTCTCAACATCTGGTCGCCTGTAGCATCTTGTTTCTGAAGAAATTGGATAAACTGATATACGTTTTTTCTAAGAAGTATCGTAAGACCTTTCCTTGGTCCTAACCATGTTGACATCTGTTTTTACTGGGAAAAGAAATATGGAAGTCAGCTACCAGCCACTAGCAATAGAGGCTGCGTTAACATTACCTGCACGCTGTAAAGTTCTGTTTCCACAGAAATGAAGTTTGGATTTTTGAGGATAGCAGACAGATTTTAAAACCAGTGTGCCCTCTCACTAGTGAAAAAACTGTGCAGATGTGTTTTCAGATTTGCAAGACAGAGTGGTTGAATAATTCCATCTGATGAGCTTTCCATTGTGATCTGAAAGTCTACAGGGGGAAAATAAAATTTCCATAAATTTTGATTAGCGAAGTAGGGGCTTATTAGTCTACTAACAATGACATAAGACGACATAATGTTTCCTAAGAGACCAGAAACATCAAAGCTTTCTGTTTATAGCATTTTGAAAGCTTTACTGTACTTAGTCTGCAATTCGTGATTTAGTCTCTTGAGAGATCACAGAAAGCTGGCATTTTAAAACTTGAGTAGAAACCTTTTCATCCCTTCAAGATTGAAGTCAAACATTGAATGTATATAGTCCTTAGTAGAGTGCTGATTTCTGACAGGTTGAAATCAGAAAATGCAATTGCAAATAATTTATATACAGTTTAGTCGCAGAAATTTAACATTGTCCTCACTTTTATAAGTACTGATATTTTAAAATACAATCTTGTTGACATTTGTTATTAGAGGATCAAATTAGATATTAATTGGAGAATGAAGGAAATAAAGTATCAAATTTTCAGATGACTAGCATGAAAGTGAGAACAAAGAAGATAACCCCAAGACCTAGGTCTTTGACAAAATACTTAAATACCCTGCTATAAATTACTTATCTGAGATATAAAGTTGTAGATTTGTTAATGTTTCTTCTTTATGTCATGAATGAGGGAATTACTGATTGGATGATTGCTAGAAGTTTTAACAAAGAAAAAACATTTTCATAGCACTATCAAGTTTGTCTTGAGCTAATAACATACCTTTTTTCTTTAATAAACAGTGGCCCAGTTACTGATTATGACTATTGCTGCAACATATTTACTGACAGTTTATATTTGTTATACTTAGAAAACATAGCAGTCACTAAATCATAGATGTAAGTAACATTTTCATTGACATTTGGGACTATAGAAAGCATGTCAAAAATAATTCAGTCAAATTAATTCAAAATTTAAAAAAATACACGTTAGCCAGTTAAATTTTCTATCTACTCTTGCAACCAATCTTGACTTAAATTATGACTGTTATTGTATTTTTGGTTAAAAAAAAATCAAGCAAACAGGAAACAAACTACTTATTGTTGAAGTTAAAAGTGGTAGGTCTCAAAATTTCATAATGGTTATAATTTTCTAAGAAGGCATTTTAAACCACTAGAGGTGAGGTTATGTTATTCAAGGGAAAATCTATAACCATACAGTATTAACACCAAAGAGACCTGCTGTTTGAGATTTCTTTGACTATTCTGCTAGTAGGGATATGATGATCATATAATGTCCCATTTTGCTTCACGGTGCTATCCCAATCCAAAATTATTAGACTTTCAGAAATACTGAGCCAAATATTTCAAGCCTGCAGTTCTAAGATAAAGAAGTGTTCAGTTATAGAGACGTGTAGGTGAGCAGCTTCTGGTTATGCTCTGTATAACTCTCTTGTGTTTACAACTGGAGCTCTCACAAAGAAATTTGTCCTTTGCACTCATTATATAAATACTAGAAGGTGTTTTCTCCACTGTCTTCTTCATTAGTGCTTCTGGGTCTTTTCAAAATAGTTAGTGCGTATTAAGTTTATAGAATCTGCTAAATGTATAGATCATAAACAATTGCAAGTGACAGAGATAGAATGAAAGGAGAAAAATTCCTGAGATTGAAATGTTGTCACATCCAAAAGATAGAAAAAAGGCTCATGCGACTGAAATACACAGGTCTGGAGGATTTAGAAAGATGAAGGTCATGCATGTATAGGTATATAGTCCATGGATATCAGCATAGTTGGGAGCTGGTTCATGGTCTCCACTCTAGAACTACACAATTAGAATCTATGTGGGTGATCCTGGGAATCTTATATTTTACCAAACTTACAAGGTGACTTTTATGCACCCTAAAGTTTGAATTAGCATGGGCATATATACAATTCTAGAAGTGGTTATTTAGATGATGATATTGATTTTGGAAGTTAGTCTGATTTAAATGGAATCTTTGAGAAGAGGTTTGAAGGAGCTCAGGGAATTTCACCCCAAGATATGACTCCTTGGTATAAAGAGTATTTTGAATTAAAGGCCCTTAGATCTCAATGGGCATTGGAAGAGGCTATCCCTCTATCTTCATAAAAACCAGATGGACCCATCAAGAATAATTGTTCTTTCACCTCCCTGTTATCTCAATATATTTCAGGAAAGAAGATCAAGAATGCAGCCAGATTCTCTGGCCCAACTCATGTTAAAGATGATACTTGTCTCTCAGGTTAATTTAATTTTCAAAGAGAATCATTTTCAAGTCATTCTGTTTCCTCCCATCCATTCATTCTCCTAAGTATCTATTCAACCTCTCTAGTAACCATTTATTGCCCCTCAATAGAATCCCTGTATTCCTCATCTTTCTCCCCCCTCTAAAATGAGGGTATATAAATGTCTGAATCCTGCTGGGATATTGAGTAATCGTTCTGTGATTTTCCCCAAGCACATAGTAAATAAATTTGTAATATCTTTCTCTTATTAATCTGCCTTATTGTGTGTTGATGTTTCAGTGAACTTTCTGGGACTGAAGGGAAAGTTTTCCTTCTCCCCCACAGGTTATAGGAAAGAACTTATGTGACTAAAAAAAATACCCTGGTTTCTGAGGGAGGAGCAGTTGAAGGAAGAGAGACCAGTCTGGATGCAATGGCAATGTTGTGATTGATAAATGATTTTGGCATGGAGTAGATTGGATTCAGTGATGATAAAATTATTTATTTTTCCTGAAAAGATTGAAGGGTAAATTGGATATTGGGTAAGAAAGAAAAAAAAAGTTAGAAACAAAGAATGTTTAACTAGTCATGGTTTGTTGAGTCATTTACCAAAATGGAAGTAGTTGAAAGATGAAAGTTTTGATGGAGAAAAGACAATTAAGAATTCAAATTGGACCTGTTAAATTTGAGATATATCCAAATTTATATATCTGTATAATATATCATATACAGTATCCAGAATATAGAAAGAATGCTTGCAATCCATTAACAAGGACCCAAAAACCAAACTGATTTTCAAAAGGGCAAAAGATCTGAATAAACATTTCACCAAAGAATATATATGCATGGCAAAGACACAAAGAAAAAGATGCTCAAAATCATTAGAGATTAGGCATATGAAAATATAAACCAAAATGAAATGTCACCACCTAGCCACGGCAAAAGCTAAAAATTCTTAGGATGGCAATGCTAAATTTTAGTGAGGATATGGAGCAATTGGAACTCAGTTATTTTTTGGTATGAATGAAAAACCTCTAAAGAGAAAGACTAAATTGTCTTCAAAGGAACAAAGGTGAAAATAGCATCAGAATCTGATAAAGAATGCCAGAAGAATTTTGAAATAACTTCTTTAGTATTGTGAGTCAAAATTATTTGATAACATTTTATTATATTTGGCCAAATGGCCAAATAAAAGTTCTGACCATCAAATATAAAGACATTTTTTACACATGTGGACTCAGAAAATCGAGTATGCACAGTTGTTTTCTGAAAAAGAAAATTACTCTTTGTAGTTTAGTGAAACAAAAACAAAAAAAGGCTCTAAGAAAGAAAAAGATGAGCAGTCTAAGAATGTCTGAGATTGTCAATGAGATGAAATCATACAGTGATGGACATTCAACAGGCTATAATAAAATTAGTTCAAATGATGTACGGAAATCAGAAGGGCCCCCATAAGAATGTCCTAAACAAAGAAATGAATTGTATCCTCAAAAAACTGCATCATACTAGTAAGGATATAAAGAGGGGTGGAAGGAGGCAAGTAGTTTCTCTGCAGTTTGATTAAGAGAAAATGAAAAAGATTGAAACCCAAAAGCCAGAAAAATAAGTATGAGCAAGATCAGAGACATGGAACTTTTTGTTGGTAATAGCAGGTAAGTTAAAATAATAATTTAAAGAGTAATTATCTTATGTTTTTCTCCTGTATCTTTCTCCTTCCATTTTTTAGCAATTATATTTTTGAGCAGCAAATACTTAATGATCATTGTTAAAAGATAAACTTGGACACGTTAAAATTTTAAATAGTTTATTTGAGCGGATAATGATTTATGAATCAGGCAGTGCCAAACAAGAAGTGGTTTGGGCTCCACTAAGGGAGCAGGGAAGGTAAATGTCTATGAGGTGTTTGTAGAAGTAAAACAAAGAAAATATTTGGTTAAAATGGAAACTCCTAGAGTTTCTCCTAAAGGTTAATTCATAGATTTTGATTGGTAAAATCTCTAGTTAAAGGTTACTTGTTAAGTGGTTAAACTTTACTTTCATTTTCCTATACTGTGACCATTCACACTGAGTTGGATTTTGATTTGCTTACATAGAAACTCAGTATGCTAGAGCTTCCCAGTCTAATGGCATCTCAATTATGTTAACATAAAATAGTATCTTTTTATGTCTAATCATAATACCGAATTCTACAGAAGATAATATGTAATAGCAGTGTTTTAAATTTTTTAGGTAATTTATAGAGAAAACTATAAATACAACTGTTAGAGAACATAATGTAAGTGCCATGATAGAACAGTAGTAACATGGGGATAAAGATAGTATTAGTCAGGGTATTAATTAGTTAGTCAGAGTATTAGTCAGGATATTAGTCAGATAGTATTAATCAGCCAGATGAGTTGTGTGTACACACACACACAGACACACACATTTATATACATGCATACATTATGTACATATTATATATGGTACAGTAAAGGACTGGCTAAGCAAGTCTGATGTCTAGAGGGCAGGCAGACAGGCAAGAAGAAAAGATCATAAACAGTATGGAAACCCATGAGCATGAGCTGAATCTTGGAGTCTCTCTAGTGCATGCTAGCAAGACAGAGCCTTATATAACCATACTATATACAGAGTAACCATTGCAGTATCATTGCATCATCTTTGCCATAATCTATCGGTTAGAAATGAACTATAGCTGTGAAATGCTTTTTGAAATTGAAACACTCAATTAAATATAAAGTCATTTGAAAATAAGATTCCTTTTACTCCATAAAGAAATGTCTTTATTTTGGAATCACTGGACTATATCTCTGTAGTTTAAAGTATGGAAAGGAATGTTTAAGTGA